AAGGGTGGGAGGGGTCATGAGTTCTCCGCGCAAGGAATTCGTACCCGAGAACGGCACAGAAGGGAAGACGTTGGGGGAGCTATGGCTGGATTACCTGATGAAGGAGACGGAGGAGGAAGTGGAAGAGGGGGAGGAGGAGGAGGAGGAGGATGGAGGGGAGGACCAGGAGGAGAAAGAGATCGCACCACCAGATCTGGTGTCCCTCGAGGCTCCTGTTTTGACGTCGGTGGGGAACGAAGAGAGGGAAGGGAAGCCGCCAGGCATGGGAGAGTCGAAGGCCCTCCAAGAAGAGGAGGGAGACGGGACTGGAGGGGTGATTGAGAGCAAGGTGCACCCTCCCTCCTAGCACGCCTAAAGCTCGCCCTTCTTAAGACAATGTGTGTGTTATAAAGTCATTCTGAACAAAGAGGAAGGAAGGACAATGCCGCGATCGGCCAAGCGGTCGAGGTGGTGTCTTCAGTGTTCGCCTCGCTTTGCTGTGTTGCCTTTTGCATTCGCGCCCCTCTTAAAATGGTCGGGGCATGCGACGAATCGGAAATGGACACGATGTGAGATGAAAGGCAATCCAATTTTGGCCCATCTTCCTGAGACAACGCGTCTCTGCAATCAGAGTGTCGCCACCGCCTGCAAGCAGTGAGTGTAGGAACCAAAAGCAGTGTACCCCGTTCGTATTTTCAGAGTCTACACGAGGTCTCATTGTACACAGCCAGGCTACCTGTAATCTGCCGAAATTCACACAAGTTTTAAAATCAGGCCCACTTCAGAACCTAGGATGATAAATGCTTTCACTTCCATCAGTTGAAACACCAGACCCCCCTTTTCGTCCTCTGTTCAGGCGCCCCGTGCGAAGCGGATAGGGCGATATCCAGCGTGCCGTTCATGTATCTCATTATCCGGCGCGTGTTGTGGTGGAACTCCCCCTCGGTGTAGGTGAGTATCCTGCTGTTGGCGCAAATGTGGCGCCTCCTGATGGAGGATACATCCCTCCTCGTCGTACTTGCCATCTTCCCAGAGCCGCGGCGATTCTTTCGCTTTCTTAGGGCATGCTTTTGAAATGCCGCCGCCATAGGGCTCCAGGTTACGTAGGCCCGAGAGGGGCAGCGGGGAGAGGTTGAGCACGCCCTTGGCGAGTGGAGTCTTCATCACGGTGAAACCGACCATGCAATGGGGACTGAGCCCACCAAAGACCACCAGGCCATAGACTATTCCCGGACAGGCCAAAGCCGATACTCCCACAGCGATGATTGCGCCACATGCGAGCCATCCTAGGCTTAGGAGACCCACGGCGACCTGGCCTATGCTGATGATCCCTACACTTGACCACCCTATTGCCAGAAGATATCGGCCCTGGCTCACATATCCACCTACAGCTACGATGCACTTACGCCCGGCTATCTCATTTGCTACACATAAGAGCTCCCAAGGTATGGAGTGCACGTCTTCGATTCCCGAAGGAAAGGAAAACCAAACCTGCTTCGTCGTCCAGGCGCCTGCCAGGAACAGGGCTAGGCAGTAAACAAATGCCCCCGAAGCCTGCAAGACTGAGAGACCCTCAAGAGTGTTTTTGTAGGCGAGGAGAAGTTGCGCCATCGACGGTGTGCCTTGTAAATGGTTGGTAGACCCCATGTGAGTTGCCATTGGGGGCCAAGTAGGTAAGAGGACTTGCGTCAGTGGTGTCGAAACCCGACCCGTTACCCCCTGTCTACCCAATTTTGTCACGCAAGCCAAATACCATACTGAGGGAAGACCACCCTTCATCTGAAAGTACTCGAAATATCCTCGATCAACTTGTTCGCATAAAAACTTAGCGCGATCGCGGCCCATTGGGGACGCAAGTGTAAGGAAGCAAGGAAGGAAGAACTTCAATTGGAAAGCTCGGCAGAGTGCGGTTTTCCATCACCTTTATGCGTTAAGGTCAAGTCAAACCCCTCCTAAGGGTCGCTAGACAACAAAATATTACCCCGGCGCGGTGTGATCGGGTGACGAACCCGGTTACACGCCGGATGAAAATAAGGCCGGTGGTAAGAACCCGTTTGCCTTTCTGGAGAGGGAAACTCCGGGTAGCCGCGGTATGGTATCGCCGCTGTCAGAACCGAGCTCCTACATAGTAAGATGAAGCCTATGGATCGCCAGTAGTAGCTATGAGCAGGCTTGACCATTTCAGTCACGTCAGATTCTCCCTCCTAACATTATTTGTTTGCATAGCAGCAATAAACTAAGTGGTGACGGGTGCTGCCAGGTGCACAGGCTTCTCGGAGTTACCAGTCGGCCATCAAATGTTCGCCACATGTTAAGTAGAATAACGTTTTCAAATCATGTGATCAATATAATGAGCGGACGAGAAGCTTATCAAATGGAGATCTGATCTCTAATTCCAGGCTGAATGGTTTATTTATGTTTTAGGTCGACTACCTCGAAGTTATGGTGGTGCGAGCTCATAATGCATGTTGGACAGCTGGAAATATCACTATAATTTTTTTCATACGTAGATCTTGTAGAGATCACACAGTCGGAACACGTGACATCCTGCGAAAGGCATTAAGTGCGGATCTTCGTTGATAAGAATGATCATATTTTTACGATTGGGGACGGCGATCAAATGCACCTCTGGAGCAAAATTTGTGGCGTGAGTAGGTCTGATGAAAATTACAATTTGCCGAGTCGGAAGACGAGAAACTGTGAGAGCTCTCTACTTTCACACATTAAGCAGGTTGAGAGGATTCGGAAAAATTACTAAGAGGTTTAGAAAGAGAGCACGTATAAATCCAGCAATGGGACAGTATTTGGGTGAATGGCTTGATAAAGGCTTGATACATAAGTTCTATGAAGCACTGTAAGCTTCGAAAGTTGAGACGGCACCGTCGAAATGCTGCATTTGCGCTGACTTGCGATGCCTTCAGCAAGCATTCTGCTTGCTGATAGCGTCTCTTGCCTGAGCGCTACTCGCAATAGCTGCGGAGTTGTAGTGAATCTGCTCCGAATATTGAAGCGAACGTATAGAATTGAAACAATCATTTACAGGCAAAGGCATGATTTGGTTACATGTAGGTTTAACCGCATTTTAATAGTTCAATGAGCGCCTCGAATTAAATTCTTTCTCTAGAAGGAAGGGACTAAGTAAGGACGTCTTATAGTTATAGCCATGAATGTGAATTCGTTCTCGATATACGTCTACACGCTGTATAAATGGATTGCTTTGATTCCCCCAAGTCCACCTCATCCGTCCATTTGTTACATCGTGTGACTACCTTAGCAACAGGCCGTCGAAATGGGCCAAGCAAGCCGAGAGCGCGATACGAGAACGGTGTCGCTCCTCGTATGCCGAGGAGTCGAGCCCGACACGCTGGCCTTCCCACTGTGGTGTGAGACCCCATGCGACATTTATGCCGAATGGTGTGCTATATTTTATAGCTCCATAGGAAGCCAGGGAGCTGTTGGAGTCTGTATTGGCATTAAAGAGGAGAAACGCTCACGGCCCAGCCACTCCCTTTCCAGTATCTTCCTTCTGTCTCTTATCAACAAACTGTTGGTGTGTACGTGCACACTGAAAATAGAAACACGACCTTCCTCTCTTCGACGCATACAAATTACAACATTCATGATGCTGACGGACTCGGTTGTATTAAACACCTTCTCAAGTCTTCCCTTTCCTCTTCTATTTATTCTGGCCCTCTAAGACAGCGCTATGGCACTCAAGTCATCCCCCAAAGGACAAGGGAAACGCGACACCGGGCCAA